TGTTCAAATCTTAGTCTTATGATGACTTATGTACTAAGTACTAAGTACTAAGAACTAAGTACTAAGAACTAAATATATTAAAGATTAAATGGACCTTTTTTTACCAAAAAGGAAATCTTTTTGAATTTAATGGCTAGATCAATAATAAATTAGGAGATGGTTAGCCTAATAGAAAATTTCTTGAAATTTAAAAAATTCAAAATGATTATTAACATAAAAAATATCCATTTTTGCAGAAAAAACTTGACAAATGATTATCTGGGTGTTAATTTGTACATTATTTACAAGTCAGTAAAAAATCAAAAAAGTATGAATTCAAAACTACCTTTAGCACTCTAAGTAAGTAACTCACAAAGTAGCCTAGTAATACATTTTAACTCAGAATTTACTCATAAGTCCAAGGCAAAAGATCTGACCAAAAAAATAAAATCAAAACCTAATGTGAAACCTAATTTTAAATAATATTTTTTATATTTTAGAATAAACTTTCATTGCTAAGCCATACCTTTAAATGGTAAAATAAGTAAAATTGATAACAATAGGCCTGTTCATGTCCGGTTGGTTGTAAATTTTGGTCATATGCAAAATAACAGTCCTATTGGTGAAAAAAATTCACCCTAAAATCTCTAAAAAAATATTGGGTTAAAAGGTTGGGTGATGTAAACAAATGCAAGCAGATCTGGCTAATCAAACTAAATCTCAACCAATCTCAATCTCAACTGACAAGACATGAACAGGCCTAATAATGGTTGAAAGTTAATCAATTAGTAAGTCTTGTAGAAAAATTTAAGGAATAAATATTCAAAAATATTCACATGCTGAATCAGGAAGTACACAAATGGCTACCTTTAAGAAGAGAAAGTAAACAATGGTTAGTTGGCAAGTTAATTTTAGTCTCCTTTTAGTACATTGTCATATTATTTATAAAATTGTCACTAAATTATGGATAATAAAAATTTCTTAAAAATAAATTATTGGATATATAATGAATGAATATTTATTTTAGAATAAGAAGTAATTTATAAAGCAACTTCCATTTATAAAAATTGAAAAAATATTTCTATCTGTTAGGGCACTGTCAGATATTACCTAATATCACTTTAATATAAGAGCTTACCCCTCAGCCTCCCCTAGGTAAGATATTTACATATATAATTCCTTATATAGTATTGTATAACCTAAGATCTTTAGTTACCCCCTCCCCCTAAAATATTAGGTAATATCTGACAGCTCCCTTATGTTAAATAACAACTAATAATTAATCAATTTCATTCACAAAATTATAAATATTAGTAGATAAATTAATATAACTTTGAACTTTAATATTATGTGACTTAAATTCCTTCACTTCATCTTTTGAATTAGATAAATCTATATCATTTCCATTAAAACCTAAAGTAAAAGTATTCTTGATAGCCAAATATTTGACTCTTTTCTTCTTCATAATATATTCTTTTATATAAGGTAAAATATAAATATCATTATTATATTCTCGTGTCATATTATTAATTAATAATTTTTTAAAGAAAGTATCTTGAGAATTTTTTAAGAATACTCCAAAATCATTTGCTTTGATGTAATAAAGAACCAAAATTAAATATTCAAGTTTGGAAGGAAGTGTTTGTCCTAAATTTTGTAATATTAACTCAATATTACTATCCTGACAATTCCCTACACTGGTCGAAAGATAATTAAGATTTTGTTTAATATTTTCAATTAAACTAAATACTAGAGAAGTAATGTGTGTTTCAATTTTATATAAATCAAGAAATTTGATATTTCTGCAATATTTTATAATTAATTCTAATAATTGTTGATTAGACAACTGATTATAATTTGTAACTCCAGATCCAAAATTTTCTAAATAATTTCCAGATTTTTGTAATAATGATTGTAATGTATCAATTTTCAAATTCTCGTATATAAACAAAGATTTTAGTTTAAATGGTTTGGTCAAGCTATTAATTTGTTGAGCAAAACTATTTAAAGAAGAACAATAAATGATATGAAGAGATTCTAAAACATTTAATTTTTCAAATACTTTAGCTAAATTACTTATACCTTTAAGATCGATATAGTAGAAAATGATTGTATTTAAGGTATTTGAACAATTAGATTCTTTTGATAATAACAATGATTGATAAAAAGATAAAGTATCATAACCTACACAACCTAATGTTATTTTTTTAAGATTTTGGTGTGAATTAATTATTTGTGATATACGATCATTAGTTGACGTATTATAACATAAAATAGAAATTTTTAAATTTCCAATTTTGTTAATGAAATTCGGATTTTGTAAAATTGACTCAAGAATGTTATCACAATATTTGTTGCGATATGTGTCTAACTTAATTTCAAAAGTATGTAAATTTGCCTCATTTTCAATAAATAATTCAATTAATGACAACTCAATCAATCTTTTAAATTCAAATATTGATTCCGAATATCTATTATTGAGTTTTAGAATTATATCATTAGCTTCTAACCATCTATCAATAGAAGAGGCAATTTTACACATGCTCAAATATCTTATAAAACTAGGATAATTAAAAAGTGTGCTTGAGGGTAATAAATAATGATCAGTAATGTGATACTCATTTAATTTAGATTTTAAACAATCATTTAAATTATATAAGTAAACTTCAATAAAATTATAATTTCCGGTAGGAATTGAAAATGGATTTTCCCATAATAATGGAATCGCTAAACGACACCATAATCTATTAACTAAAACGCATGAGTATAAGGTTGAATAATCATTCTGAAAATTTTTGATGATTTCATTTGTTAATTCAGGTAAATCTCCTGAAAATAACTTCGAACATGACATATTGTAAACTAAAAAGAAGAAAAAAAAAATAGTGGCTATCATTTTATTGTAACAGGTAAGAAGTAAATTTATATTTAATTTTCGGAGTGGTGATTCCGATATTGTCGCACAATTAATTGTGTGTAACAGGTTTTAACAATTAGGCGTAGGTTTATTTAAAATTACTACATTCGGTAAAAATGTATTATGCAGATTTATGCAGATCATTATATAACATTCGTAACAGTCTTTGCAGATCTTGTTTTTTACACCTTTTTTATACAATTAGAAAAAGTATCAAAATTCTTTTATATAAATCAATAAAAAGTTTTTAATTTAGAACAGTTATTTTCTCGTATAATTATTAATTGTTGCTAAGATCAATTAATATCAACAATAAAGTAATTATCTGCCATTAATAATATATCATGAGTCTATAGCAAAAACATATGGGCGGAATCTGACTCACTTGAGAATGGGTTGTCGTGATGGTCTAAAAATTGCGCGTGATTTTCTCGTGGAAATCGTGATTATAATCTTGGCCTAAATTAACATGATTTCAGCCAGAATTAACATTAAAAACAATATATAATTTTTATTCAGAATCGATTTTTATTTATTTTATTTACAATTTTCGTCTTTACAAAAAATTCATCTAACTATTCACTGACTAGTGAATTGAAATCAATATTACCATTCAGATTAAAATAAAGAAAATTAAGTATTTTAATGCTTTCTTCTTTAAGCTAACTGATACTATACTTTTATAACTAGAATAATTACGTTCAATATTTACACTTGATACTATTAACCATATAATCTTTAAATTCTTCCATAGATTCATTTAATCCACAGTAAATACTCCATTCTTATACTATTAAAGTATCTGTCGGAAATTGAAATTCTTCAATAATTCTATAATCTCCCATATTATGATGAGCTATAGTATTAGATTAAATAATCCTGGATCAAAGCATTGTATATATTGCTCTAAATAATGGTAGAACTGGATGATTAGATATTTGTTTTTCACACTTTTCATTTATTATATTTTCAAATGATGGTATAATTCTTTGAATAGGTGAATTAATATCAGTTTTATTCTTAAGATTGTTTTGCTGTGCGAAGATGTTTATCTACAGAGTCTTTTCTTTTATGATCAACTCCTGTATTGCAAAATCGATACCACAATTTATTGCCTTGTACAATATAATTCTCTCGATACTTTGCATTTTGTAATAAACGCACATGTGGAGCAACCATTTTATAAAAAAAAATAGAACAAAAATGGTTAGGATTAAAATTTTTTTCGTTAAAAAAGATTTATTAATCGTCCAATTGAAATTAATCAAGATTATCCAATCCAGATTAAAATGTCGTGAAAATCGCAATTTTTGTTAAAAATCGTGACCGTGATAAAATCACAAAGACAAGTTACGCTTTTATTTTTTATACTAGAAAGGAAATTAATGTTTTCATTTAGTTGTACTTAATGCAATGATACCTTAATCACAAAATTGCTGATATATGAACCTTATTAAATGATTTACAAAATTCACCACCTTATTTTTAGATAATAAATTTGTTAATTATTTACAAGTTGGTTTCAACAAAAAAATCAAAAAGTAAGAATTCAAAACTACCTTTGCCACTCTAAGTAAACTTGCAAAGTAGCCAAGTAATACATTTTAACCCAAAATTTACTCATAATCCAAGGCAAAAGATCCGACCAAAAAAATATAATCAAAACTTCCAATTTTAAATAATATTTTTTTATATTTTATAATGAACTTACATTACTAAGCCATACCTTTAAATGGTAAGAATAAATAAAATTTGATAACAATAATGGTTGAAACCTATTAATGTTAATCAATTAGTAAGTCTTGTAGATCTGCTGGTTAGAAAATTTAAGGAATAAATATTTAAAAATATCCACATGGTGAATCAGGAAGTACACAAATGGCTACCTTTAAGAAGGGAAAGTAAACAATGGCTAGTTGGTCTCCTTCTAGTACTTTATCATATATTTATAAAATTGTCATGGATAATAAAAATTTCTTAAAATTATTGGTAATTATAATGAATGAATATTTATTTTAGAATAAGAAGTAATTTATAAAGCAACTTCCATTTATAAAAATTGAAAAAAATATTTCTTTCTGTTATTTTAAATAACAACTAATAATTAATCAATTTCATTCACGAAATTATAAATATTAGTAGATAAATTAATATAACTTTGAACTTTAATATTATGTGACTTAAATTCCTTCACTTCATCTTTCAAATTAGACAAATCTATATCATTTCCATTAAAACCTAAAGTGGAAGTATTCTTGATAGCCAAATATTTGACTCTTTTCTTCTTCATAATATATTCTTTTATATAAGGTAAAATATCAATATCATTATTATATTCTCGTGTCATATTATTAATTAATAATTTTTTAAAGAAAGTATCTTGAGAATTTTTTAAGAATACTCCAAAATCATTTGCTTTGATGTAATAAAGAACCAAACTTAAATATTCAAGTTTGGAAGGAAGTGTTTGTCCTAAATTTTGTAATATTAACTCAATATTACTATCCTGACAATTCCCTACACTGGTCGAAAGATAATTAAGATTTTGTTTAATATTTTCAATTAAACTAAATACTAGAGAAGTAATGTGTGTTTCAATTTTATATAAATCAAGAAATTTGATATTTCTGCAATATTTTATAATTAATTCTAATATTTGTTGATTAGACAACTGATTATAATTTGTAACTCCAGATCCAAAATTTTCTAAATAATTTCCAGATTTTTGTAATAATGATTGTAATAATGATTGTAATGAATCAATTTGCAATTTCCCGTTTATAAACAAAGATTTTAGTTTAAATGGTTTGGTTAAGTTAATAATTTGTTGAGTAAAACTATTTAAAGAAAAACAATAAATGATATGAACAGATTCTAAAACATTTAAATTTTCAAATACTTTAGCAAAACTAATTATACCTTTAAAATCGATATAATAGAAAATAATTGTATTTAAGGTATTTGAACAATTAGATTCTTTTGATAATAACAATGATTGATATAAAGAAAAAGTATCATAACTCATATAACCTAATAACATTTTTTTAAGATTTTGATGTGAATTAATTATTTGTGATATACGATTTTTAGTTGGTGTATTAGAACCAAAAAGAGAAGTTTTTAAATTTCTAGTATTGTTAATGAAATTCGGATTTTGTAAAATTGACTCAAGAATGTTATCACAATATTTGTTGCGATATGTGTCTAACTTAATTTCAAAAATATGTAAATTTGCCTCATTTTCAATAAATAATTCAATTAATGACAACTCAATCAATCTTTTAAATTCAAATATTGATTCCGAATATCTATTACTGAATTTTGAAATTATATCATTAGCTTCTAACCACCTATCAATAGAAGAGGCAATTTTACACATGCTCAAATATCTTATAAAACTAGGATAATTGAAAAGTGTGTTTAAGGGTGATAAATAGTGATCAATAATTTGATATTCATTTAATTTAGATTTTAAACAATCATTCAAATTATACAAGTAAACTTCAATAAAATTATAATTTCCGGCAGGAATTGAAAATGGATTTTCCCATAATAATGAAATCGCTAAACGACACCATAATCTATTAACTAAAACACATGAGTATAAGGTTGAATAATCATTCTGAAAATTTTTGATGATTTCATTTGTTAATTCAGGTAAATCTCCTGAAAATAATTTTGAACATGACATATTGTAAACTAAAAAGAAGAAAAAAAAATATGGCCTATCATTTTATTGTAAGACCAAACTGTATTTAATTTGATTCCGATATTGTCATACAATTAATTGTGTGTAACAGGTTAAACAATTAGGCGCAAGTTTTATTTAAAATTACTGCATTCGGTTAAAAAATGTATTATGCAGATCATTATATAACATTCGTAAATCGTCTTTTGCAGATCTTGTTTTTACACCAAATAGAAGAAAAATCAAAATTCTTTTATGTAGATCAATAAAAAGCTTTTTAATTTATGGTAGTTAAATTTTTAGTGCAAAGTCATGATAAACAGATTAATATTTTCAACATTGAATTAATTTAGTAAGTTCATCAATCATAGTATGTAGTTTACGAAATGTGAAATGCTTCAGAACATTGGTATAATATTAATAAATTGTGATCCCATCAATTTTTTTTTCTTTTTTTCTTCGTACAATTATTAATTGCTGCTAAGATCAATTAAGTAAGTAATTATCTGCCGTTAATAATATATCAGGCTATAGCAAAAAATTAACGAGACGAAACTCATAGTGTATCTAATCTAAGCCACAATTTAACCAATTATAGCTAAATTCTAAATTCATATAAATTATCTTTTTTGATTTTTTCTTTATAAAAATATAACATAATTTTTGTGGTTGATAGTCATTAAGCATTCTAAAATTTTTTTATGAAATTTATTTGACTTCCAAGATTTTATTTAATAGGATTATTGTTGGAATAATTAAGAAAGCTCATAATAGACTTTTTTTCCAAGAATCTGTTGTCGCTGCAAAGATAATAAATTTCTCTGATCTATAGCCAGATCTTGAGTTAAATAATTTCAACATATAAGATTAACCAAAACAAACATTATGCATCCCCAAGAACATAAAAACATACAAAATTATCATCACCTGACAAAACATAATCACAACATCTACATCTCATATGATGCTAACGGTAACACCGACAAAAGCAGTGGTGCCTCTCTTATTATTTCATTCTCACACTTTAACAGAATAATTTAAACACATAATTCAGTCATAAAGGCAACAAAATCTATCAATCAATTGTAGTTATTTGTCAGCCAACCCATCCAAAGATGTCAATAACAGAATGGGCGAAAGAAAAATGCAAGCCTCGCGAGAATAATTATTGTATTTATTTTATTAAACAATGATTTTTGAATAATATTCATTGGATAAGAAATTTTTTATTAAATATAACCTGCAAATTAATTTATTATATTGGATTACAGCTGGCAAACAATTTCTATATTTGCATTGACTTATTATCTTCCCTTATTTCTTTTACTATTTATATTTTTGTTTGATATATTTTTGTTAATAATTAAAAAAAAAATGAATTTTAACTAATTACAAACATTTTCGTCATTCATCAATTTTTTACGTAATCATCCGTTGATCATTAAAGGAAGACAAAGTATTAATATGGTTATCCTAGGCTCTTAAAAAGGATATCTTATGTCAGTTGTTCATCAACCTTAATTTTTTTCGTTTTCCTTTGTAATTCGCAAACTAATTAAGAGAAATGTCCAAACAATTTTTTTCAGGGTTAAGTCAAAATTATATAGAAATTTTGGAAGATGATGAATATTATGATGTTACTATTGAAGTTGGAGAGGATCCAAACGTGAAAATATTTCGTGCACATATGATTATCCTATGTTATCGTTCTCCATTTTTACGTCGAACTTTGTCTTCTAACAAAAAAAATGGTAATAGTGTCTTGACTCACATTAAATTCTCAAATATTTCACCAGAAATTTTTCAAATCGTTTTAAGGTAAGTTATGTTCTAATTTTTATTAGTATAACAAATATTTCATATTTCAGTATTTATCATAAATCTTTTTTTTTTTTTTAGATATATTTATGGTGGCGTCATTTCTTTAAACGAGCAAGAACCTTCTGAAATTTTAAAAATTTTGGTTGCTGCTGATCAACTATTTCTTCAAGAACTAATTGATTATTTGCAAAAATATTTGATTGAAAATGAATCTGAGTGGATGGAACAATATTTTGAACATATTTACCGAGCAAGTTTACAATCTAATTCTTTGTTAGAACTCCAACAATATTGTATAAATTTTATGGCTAAATCTCCTGAAAAAATATTTAAATCAATTGATTTTACTTCTCTTCATGAAAAGTCTTTGGTTTCGCTCATTAAAAGAGATGATTTACAAATGAAGGAAGTTAAAGTTTGGGAACATGTATTAAAATGGGGACTTGGAAAAAATCTTACGCTTCTTCCAGATCCTACAACTTGGTCAAATGATGATTTCAAAACGATGGAAAATACTTTGCAACATTGTTTACCTTTAGTAAGATTTTTTAGTCTTTCATCTGATGATTTTTTTCAAAAAGTTCGACCTTATAAAAAACTTTTAAAACATCAAACATATGAAGAGTTATTGGAATCATATTTGAATCCTAATAGTGAACCAAATGATAATATTTTGCTTCCTAGATATATAAACATGGATGGAATTATTGATTCAAAAATTATTAATTTAAATATTGCATCATTAATTTCAAGATGGATTGATAATGATATTAAGAGCAAATTTGCTTATACAAGAGAATTATACTTACCATACGAATTTAATTTGTTGTTAAGAGGAAGTAGAGATGGATTTTTTCCTAAAAAGTTTCATGAATTATGTGATAATGTTCCTCATACTGTAACATTTATTAAAATAAAAGGAACAGAAGAAATTATTGGAGGATATAATCCTTTGGAATGGAAATCAGATTGCGGATATTATAAAATCAAAGATAGTTTTGTCTTTTCTTTTAAAAATAAAAGTAGTTTCAAAGAGTCAATTTTAAGTCATGTTAAAAATATTGATCAATCATTATATTGTGAAGATAAATATGGGCCCACATTTGATGATGACATTCGTATGTATGTGAAAGAGGAAGATGATGATTCAAAAGATTATGAATTTTGTCGATGCAAACAGGTAAGTTATAAAAAAAAAATAAGAAATACAGAAGATTACTTTTCAATAGAAGATTATGAAGTATTTCAAATTATAAGGAAAGATGATGATATTTAAAATTTATATATTTATCTGTATTGATTAAATTAAAGTAAAATTTTATACTTTTTCTTAAATATTATCTGTATGTTAATATATTGTTTTTGATACTGTATAATAAAATTCATTTATTTAACAAGGCTTACTTTTGAAGCTAAAAACTTGAAAAATATATTTTTCTTATTTTTTTTAAAATATATATATATATATACACTTATCTTTTGCTTTACAATATCCGTCATAACTATTACTGAATGATCGTATCCTCAACTGTAATAATTTTTTTTCTTCGACTTTGATGTTATAGTACAAAGTGTGATAATTCATGAACTTCTAGGAGCGAAATAAATTTTGCTTTCTTCTAAAAGTAATATAAATTTATGTAGATTTCTTGAAAGTGAGGGGGAGGGATATTTTTATTAAACAAACTAAATTAATAAAACTTTGGAAATTTTGAAAAAATTCGGGAATTTTCACAAAAATTCTGACCCCATGATTTATAGTGTGTATTTAATGTTTATCAAAATTTTAGATTTTTTTTTAAAAATAGAGGGAAGTGGGTTCGTTAAACAAACAATCATGTTGGAAAGACAAAATATTTAAAATGGTAAAGTTGCACGAAATTTGGGTAAACTGATCGACATCAAACATTTAATGGTTTATTTTAAAAAAATTTTTTTTTTACTCTCTTATTCTTTTCACATTGCAAATTTTACGAAAAATATGTCCAAGCAATTTTTTCCAAATTTAAGTCAAAACTACATTGAGATTTTGGAAGATGATGAATATTATGATGTTACTATTGAGGTCGGTGAAGATCCAAATGTAAAAATATTTCGTGCACATATGATTGTCCTGTGTTACCGTTCTCCATTTTTACGACGAACTTTGGCTTCTAACAAAAAGAATGATAATGGTATCTTGGCGCACATAAAGTTATCAAATATTTCACCAGAAATCTTTCAAATTATTTTAAAGTTAGTTATATTACTAATTCTTATTTAGTATTTTAAACGTTTTATATTTATCATAATTTTTTATTATTTAGATACATTTATGGTGGTATCATTTCATTAAATGAACAAGAACCTTCAGAGACCTTGAAAGTTTTGGTCGCTGCTGATCAACTATTACTTCAAGAACTAATTGATTACTTGCAAACATATTTAATTGAAAATAAATCTGAGTGGATGGAACAATATTTTGAATTAATTTATCAAGCAGGTTTTCAATCTAATTCTTTATTAGCACTTCAACAATACTGTACAAATTTTATGGCCAAATTTCCTGAAAAAATATTTAAATCACTTGATTTTACCTCAATTTCTGAAAAATCATTGGTTTCGCTTATTAAAAGAGATGATTTACAAATGAAAGAAATTGAAATTTGGGAACAAGTATTAAAATGGGGTCTTGAAAAAAATCCTACACTTCTTCCGGATCCTATGACCTGGTCAGATGATGATTTCAAAACGATAGAAAATACTTTACAACATTGTCTACCTTTAATTAGATTTTTTAGTTTATCTCCTGAAGATTTCTTTCAAAAAGTTCGACCTTATAAAAAACTTTTAAAGCATCAACTTTATGAGGAATTATTAGAATCTTACTTTAATTTTAATAACAAACCAAATGATAATATTTTACTTCCTCGATCTAGAAATATTGATGGAGTCATTGATTCGAAAATTATTAATTTAAATATTGCTTCTTTAATTTCAAGATGGATTGATAAAATTGATATTAAAAGCAAATATGCTTATACAAGAGAATTATATTTACCATATGAATTCAAATTACTCTTAAGGGGAAGCAGAGATGGATTTACTCCTAAAAAATTTCATGAATTATGTGATGATAAACTTTGTACTGTTACATTTATTAAAGTGAAAGAAACAAAAGAAATTATTGGAGGATATAATCCTTCAGTATGGAAGTCGCATAATAATGGTGAATGTTGGAAAACAAAAGATAGTTTTATATTTTCTTTTAAAAATAAGAATAATTTTCAAGATCCAATTTTAAGTCATGTAATAAATACGAACTATGCATTATATTATAATAATAATTTTGGACCCTCATTTGGTAGAGATGATTTTGACATATTAGTAAATGAGGGTAATGATGATTCAAACGAATATGATTACTGTCAGTGTAAACAAAATGATTATGAAAAAAAGATAAGAGATACAGAAGACTTGTTTTCAATAGATGATTATGAAGTATTTCAAATTATAAAGAAAGATGATTAATACTCGAATGATTTAATTTATTTGCTTATTTTATAATTTTAAATAAACTTTATCGTTTACTATTATTTTAGATAAATATATTTAAATTGAAAAAATAAATAAATGTAACCATGAATTCACTAAATAAGAAGTATTTTATTACCAAAATCATATTACAAATAACTAACAATATTAAATAAAAATTAACAATATAATATAAATATTTAATATTTTAACAATTTTTATTTTCAGATTATTATTTTTATTTAATATTCTTAAAGTTTGATAAATTGGAGAATCTAACGTACCCTGTAAAAAAATTTTATTGAACAAAAAACACGGAATAAATTTTTTATAGTGTTGGATTTATATGGGTTGTTTATAAGATTGTGTAATTATGTTATTTAAAATCAAATACTTACTAATATTTTGAAATAATCATATAAATAAAAATCATGGCTTTTTACTTCGTAATAAACTATATTTGTTATTCAATTTATTAATTGTCATGCTTAGAGTTATGATATAAAATTAGTAAATTAAAGTTTATCAGTATTCGGTTTACTTTTAAATTTTTTAGTTTTTTATGAAAGCAGATATTTAAAATGTTTATTATAGTTTTGATTAATTTCTTTTTATTTGAAATACTTCATAATTTTCATAAGAACTTATCATTTGCATCTCATCTTTTTTTCATACTTTACATTGCTGTACCGACAATAATTATTTTATCATAACACCAATCTTTTTCATATAGATACCAATGTACCATTACCAAATATAGTTCCGAATTTATTATCATAAAATAATGCATAATCCATATTATATTCATGATAACAAAACAAAAGTCATCTATGATACTCACAGCAATACAATCTTTGAATAAGGTGATTGTATTCAGCTTTGAAAAATTATACCAATATTGATTGCAGATTGAAATATTTATTAGTTATTGAATTTTATTTCAAATTAATCAATGTTTTTTATTTTAATTTTTAATTAATAGAGTTTACAATTAAAAAAATAATGATTATAAAGATTATAATGGGTAATTAAAAAATAATTACACACCAAAATAAAAGTTTGAAATTTCTGTTAATATTGTAATTTCAGGATAATGATAATTAGGATAGTAAGGATTTTGTAACCAATCCAATTAAAGTAACGTTATAAATCTATATCTTATAATGATTTACATGATTACACGCTTAAAAGATGTTTGAATTGTCCTTAAGTATTCTCAAAATAATTATTTTCATGCTTCAATATTATCATTACTATGATGTGTGTGGTATTATTTTTCCAATTAAAAAAAAAATATTTATTATTAATTCATTGACGAACATTTTGTCAAAATTTATTGAGATCTCATTTCATCTAGGAATTAAATTATAATTCATCATTCTAATTTTTGACATTTACAGGTATTTACGTTAAAATATAACGATAATATTAATATTCTGAATTTAGACAATATGAAAGTTAAAATAAATACAGTATTAACAATTTTTATAATAATAACAAGTTACAAATAGTGGGTTAATTTCAAGGGAACGTACTTCACATCTGGGTCAACTTCGCTAAACTATTTTTATCCGAAAAAAGAGATTTATTCTTTATTACTAAGCGTGATATAATTTCTCATAAGTTATTGAAACTGATATACTAACCAGGGATAGAGATTAATCCAACCCTTGTCAACCATTGAATTCAAAGGTATAAATAAACGCACACTATTACGCCATTTGTGGTATCAGATCTTTTTTTTAAAAAAAAATATTTTTTCTTTTTTACATTTGTATGTCAAATACAAAATGAAGATCAACAGATCAACAAATTATTAAAACGGAAATACGGAAATAGTATTTACTAATTTTTATAGAAAAAATGGTTAAACAATTTTTTCCAAATTTAAGTCAAAATTATATTGAGATTTTGGATGATGAGTATTATGATATTACTATTGAAGTTGGTGAAGATCCAAACGTAAAAATATTTCGTGCACATATGATTATCTTATATTACCGTTCTTCAATTTTATATCTTCTAACAAGAAAAATGATAATGATGGTGCCTTGACTAGGGATGGCAACGGTCACGGTTATTAACCGGTCATGACCGGTTATGACCGTGACCAATATCGGTCGGTCAAAGGCTTCTGACCGACCGTTTAACCGACCGGTTTAACTGACCGTTTGACCGACCGTTTAACCGACCGTTTAACCGATTATTTAGCCAAATATATTCACTTAAATCTTTTTTTACGAACTTAATCAATAAAAAAAGTTAATTAACGTTTTTTTTTGATTAAATTATACTTTTTAACATTTTTTCTTCGTTAAAAAGAAAAAAGTGATCGGTTAAACGGTCGGTTAAACGGTCGGTTAAACGGTCAGCCAAAACGGTCAGCCAAAACGGTCAGTCGGTCAAAGGCCCTTAACCGGTTATGACCGACCGATAACCGACCGTGACCGACCGTTGCCATCTTTAGCCTTGACTCATGTTAAATTGTCAAATATCTCACCAGAAATCTTTCAAATTATTTTGAAGTAAGTTATATATCAATTTATATCAGTATCTTAAAATTTTTATTTATTAATAAATTTTATTTATAATTTAGATATATTTATGGTGGTGTTATTTCATTAAATGATCAAGAACCTTCTGAAATTTTAAAAATTTTGGTTGCTGCTGATCAACTATTTCTTCAAGAATTAATTGATTATTTACAAAAATACTTGATCGAAAATAAATCTGAGTGGATAAAAAAAAATTTGAATTTATTCATCGAACAAGTTTTCAATTTAACTCTTTATTAGAACTTCAACAATATTGTACAAATTTTATGGGTAAATCACCAGAAAAAATTTTTGAATCACTTGATTTTACCTCTTCCTGAAAAATCTTTGGTTTCGCTCATCAATAAAGATGATTTAGTTGAAATTTGGGAACATGTATTAAAATGGGGTCTTCAAAAGAATCCTACAATTCATCCGGATCCTACAACATGGTCAGTCAATGATTTCAAAATGATAGAAAATACTCTGCAATATTGTCTACCTTTAATTAGGTTTTTCAGTTTATCTTCTGATGAATTTATACAAAAAGTTCATCCTTATAAAAAACTTTTAAAACATTAACCATATGAAGAATTGTTGAATTCATACTTAAATTCCTAATAGTGAACCAAATGATAATATTTTACTTCCAAGATATAGAAATATTGATGGAATCATTGATTCGAAAATTGTATTACGCGAATTTTTGCGCATGTGATTTCCGATATTATATGGTGATCCGATGAAATTCGGTACATTTGTGTACATGTCGATTTCCGGTGTTATGAGACGATTTACGCCGATATATGATTTGTGTATATCGGTTAACTATATTAAAGATATTGATTTTGTTTGATAGATTTACTTATATATCATTTTTATAGTTATTTTATTTTATTTAGATAATTTATTTATATTATTTATTTTCTTTATTTGTATTGTTTATATATAAGATTTTATTAGAAGTTATTGTAGGGAAATTAGCTCAATAGTAATTAACCGTCTAAAATTATCATTTGTACTTTATTAAAAATGGCTTATAATCGTATTGTAATTGTATTGATATATTACGAAATCAATAACCCATCAATAGACATCTATAGATTAGATTTTGCCTTGATGACAGGAAAAAGAGATGACGGTTAGATAAAATAAGATATAAATACACCTTCCGCCAACTCTTTGATAGAGTAGTTACCATATAGCTATTTTTCTGTAGTTATTTTGTCGTTAAATATCTTTAAGATATATTTCCTATCCCTTTCTGTCACTTTTTATCACTTTGTTGTAAAGATCCGAATTTACACCTGTTTAATAAAATCGTTATATTTGGTCAATATTACACGTTGTTTCTAACAGTCATATAACAGTTGTTGTTATAACCATTGCGTATTTTCATTTATCGTATTTATAGTGTTTACCTTGACGATTCTTAACGAACAATACCGGAAGTACCTTGGATAGGTAGTATTGAGTAAGAATTTTGTTGGTATTCGTGTAGTTATACGATATAAGTCATCCGCCATTCGTCCCTTAATTACCGTCATTATTCGGTAACAATTGGTGCCTTCTGCCAGAAACTAACAAAAATCGACCGTGTGATTACCCCTGAATTGAGTTGACAACAAAGGATAATCTTTCCTATTGTATGAACAATAGAAATCTCCTGAAACGCCACGATCAGTTACACCGGATATACCCTAATATTCCCCTATTTGAATTAGCAGACGATTCTTGTTGTATTTGTCATCCCGTTCTCACAATACCAGACCGATATTTCCTACGATTTTGGAACTGGTATTCATTAGAGATTCCCACGTTATCTTATTCTGCAAAAACAGTCCAATATTTCTACGAATATAGCCAAGGAACGGTATTAAGACAGCAATATCTTATACGAAAATTAATATCAAGTATTAGATATCAAAACGCCTCATTATCTTACGACCGTTTAGCCATCAAGATATATACTGCTCGTGAAAGGTTTCAGAACTTCAACCTTGACCCTTTTGTTTGTTATCAGCACGAAGACGAACCATTAGGATACGAGTTGTCTTTTATAACACCACCGACCTCTCCGATATTACGATATCCCAGAAATTTTCTTTTTATTAACGAACCGTTATACCTAGAATACCTGTTTGACGAAGAAAATATGTCGAATCTTCAGAATAATCAAGGTCAAGGACAGCCTCCTAACCGATTCAACCAAGCTCCTCAAGTCAACCAAGCAGATATACAAGCCTTGACAGCAGCCGTACAGGCCTTGAAAGGACAAATGTTAGCGCCTAATAATATCGGAAACGCAATGAACACGTTAAACGCAACGGTAGCCGCGAATAAAAATGCTTTACAAAACCGAAACCATAACGTTGCACAAGTACAGACGTTTAACGGAGGAAACCAAGATCCAATCACCTGGTTAAACGAGTTTAATGCAACTGCGACGGCTAATGGATGGAACGACGCACGAAAACTACAAGTTGTCCCCGCTTATTTAAAAGGACCAGCTGCCGTTTGGTATCAAGCAGCGGTATTGGCGCCTATTAACGCTTGGGCAGCAGCAGCCAACGTTAACAACTTCGAACATGCCTTCCTTACTCGGTTCAGAACTGCGGCTATGGTAGAGATGTGGGCGACTGAGTTAGATCAGAGACAGCAACAACCGAAAGAAAGCGTGGATGAGTATGCCTCGTCTATCCAGGAACTATATCAACGAGTTAACGATGCCGCCTTCGCCTACCCCGATAATTTACAAGCTCGGAAATTTGTTTCTGGATTGCAACCTGAGCTCTATATGGCGGTAAAGCCCTTTGGGGATCAAACGTTAGCGGATGCAATAGGAAGAGCCAAGGGCTGTGAACTCACCTTACGATCAGGAAAAACTAAGTTATTGAACTATACCGGTCAAACTACGTCTGAAATCACCGAACTCACTAAATTGGTCGCAGCTCTAACTGAGCAAATCACAGAAATCGGAAAGAAGGTTACAGGAAATCGACCGCCACCACGAAGTGATAGTAGAAATCCGAATGTTCCTTCGGGACCAAATCGAACGATTGTTTGTTATACGTGTGGAGAAGCTGGGCATGTGAGTCGAAGGTGTCCGAATAACGCAAAAAACACCAGCGTTACAAATCCAGTAATTGCACCTGTTGTAACAACTACACCACCTACTTCAGCCACTAATGATACTCAGAGTTTAGTACAAGAATTACTGAAACAGTTGAATTCCACGAGTAATACGACCACCACTAATGGTCAACAATCGTCTTTAAACTAAGTGGTGCATCTGCGGGAGGTGTAGATGCGAAACCTGATAAATCCTCTATATCATTAAATACCTTATTCGAAGCTTATCCTGCCCAACGAAGGAGTCAAATGAGAAGAGCCGAACCATATTCTAGACCAGTCGTTTCAGAAGAAGAGGAATCGTCACAACCTCTTGATATTCCGACTGCTCCAATTGATATACCAAAAACAGTTAAACCAATGATAGTTACCGAAAAGGCGGAAACATCATCCAAAGCTATTGAACAAACTACCGTTAATATAGCCGCAAAGAAAAAGAAAGCTCCGGTAGTTAAGAAGAAAAAGAAGATGAATCTTCAGCCCTTGATATCACTACATGTACCACCTTATTCGATGGTAGACGACATCAAGAATCAACAAGCTCGTATCACATTCGGACAATTATTGGAAGTTGCGCCGAAGTGTCGTTCAAAACTGATACGAGGAATACGAAAACCCACGGTTCGAAAGATGAATCTCGGTGAACAGGAAACAGAAGATACGGCCACTGCATTGTATTGTGATGCAACGGTGAAAGGAACTGAGATCCAGTTGATTATCGATAGTGGTGCCGCCGGAAGTATTGTGTCATGTCAATTATTAAAAGACCTTAAGATCCCTATCGATAGGCCATCGACCACCATGATGATTAATGTGAATGGTGAACGAAAACGACCGTTAGGAGAAGTGTTGAATTTCCCCATCACCATTCAAGATATTACTGTTCCAATTAACGTAGTAGTAACTGAAGCCGAATCTTATGCTGCAATTGTTGGAAAAGATTGGTTAAGTAAAGTCAGGGCTAACATCAACTACGAATCGTCTACCATGAACCTCACTTGGAATAAGCGGACCATCGGAGTGCCAGTTGAATATCGGCTCATGCCTCAAGAGAAAAGGAAGCTACAAGGCCTTATTGATTCAAGCAGTCCACCGAAAGAAGACGATGATGGATCGGAAAAAGAAGATACCGACGAAGAGGAAACTGATGATGACTCCATTAAAGAAGAAGAGGAGGAGTTTGAAGACGATGAGCCTGAAGAACGAGTGTTCTTCACTATGCAGTTTGAAAAACCTAGACGTCCGACGCGTATTCAGTATCGCAATAATAAAAAGAAAGCTGAAGTTCGGAAGCGAGATCCACTTCCAGAATCTTCAGTAATATTAGACTGCAAGTTTGCTAACGTTGTTATAGACGCCATATATCCATGTGAAGATTTTGTGTTAACCAACGAAGGGATTTACCTTGGTAAATGTTTCCATACGTGGGGACATCTTCAACATTTGAATCAAAAGTTCAAGACGACGCCTCCTAAGAAAGCAACTTGGGTATATGATTGGAAAGGGCCAAAAGCTAAATGTTGGTGTCGAAATTCATTATACTCCCCGGAAGACGCCTGTTATTTCTGCCAAGATGATTTAATAACCTATCAATCAGTATGCCGACTCTCATCAACCATTCTAAAAGAATTGAGTAGAGGACGATGTGATGATGGAGTTGTACCTTCCGAGGAACAAAGAAAATTTGCATTAACCAATCAACTTTATAATCAGTTAGTCTTGGAGAAGGTTGCCGCTGAAAATGACCGACAGTTATGCTATCACTGTGGACAGAAGACGCATTTGGAGTATGAGCGATTATCCAAGGAAGTCGAATATTATCATGTAGAAGTAGGATCCGGAATTGAGACTACCCCTACTACCATTAAGATGAAAGTCGGAACTCTTCCTACTGATTTAGAATTACCATTACTTCGATTTCTTGTTCAACGTCGTGGTAATTTTGCATGGAGTTCTTCTGAGTTAGGTCGAACTAATTTAATCTGACACTCCATCGATACCGGTAACAATAAGGCAGTACGAAAACATTGGTATCGCACGTCCAAAAATGAGCGGAATTTCATTGAGGAAGAAATTCAACGTATGTTACAAGAGGGACTAATTGAAAGATCAACAGGTCAATGGGCCGCTCCGGTAGTCCTAGTTCGGAAGAAAAACGGAAAGCTGCATTTTTGTGTTGATTACCGAGAATTGAATAACGTTACGATAAAAGATGCCTATCCTCTTCCCAGGATAGATGACATGCTCGACTCATTTGGAAAAGCTCAATGATTTACATACCTGAATTTAGCCAGTGGATATAGGCAAGTAGAGATGAACCCCGCAGATAGACCCAAAACTGCTTTTATTACTCAATTCGGCACTTACCAGTTCAAAGTAATGCCGTTCGGCTTATGTAACGCTCCGGCCACATTTCAGCGTCTGATGGATGAAGTCTTACGAGGTTACCTTTGGAAATTTGTAATGGTATATTTAGACAATGTTATCATCTATTCGGATACCTTTGAACAACACCTAGAACATCTTCGAGTTATTTTTGATCGATTGGAAGATGCTGGCTTAAAGTTAAATCCCGATAAATGCTCGTTTGTAAAAGAAGAGCTGGAGTTCTTGGGACATATCGTTAGCAACAAAGGGATAAGGACCGACCCTGCTAAGATACAGAAAGTAAAAGATTTTCCAGTACCGTTGAATGTCACCCAATTACGAGGTTTTCTTGGGCTTGCTTCTTATTATCGACGATTTGTGCCTGGATTTTCTCGTATTGCAACACCCTTAAATAAGCTATTGAAGAAAGGAGTTGCATATAGTTGGGGTAAAGAACAGCAAGTTGCGTTTGAACAGTTGAAACAGACCTTGATCGCCTAACCTATCCTCATCTTTACTGATTTTGAAAAACAGTTCGTATTATTAACGGATGCTTCGACCTTTGGGTTGGGCGCGATATTATCTCAATTGGATGAAGATGGGAATGATCGTGTAATAGCGTACGCTAGTCGTACATGTAATAAGGCAGAGAGTAATTATTCGGCAACTGAATTGGAATGTCTTGCCGTAATATGGGAAGTAAAACATTTCCACGCGTATATCTATGGGCAACGATTCAAATTAGTCACTGACCATGCAGCGTTATGTCATTTATTTAATACGGCTACCCCTATCGGAAGATTGGCCCGTTGGGTCATGAAGCTCCAAATGTATGATTTTGAAACTACACATCGCTCCAGAAGGAAGCACCTCAACGTTGATAGCCTATCTAGGATAAGAATCTAGATATATACCTAAATCATCTTTTTACCATTCTCCATTATTACCGACGCCGATTTTTGGATTATTTTTTTGATTTCAACCCAACCTATGGATTTCACCACATATTTTAACATTTTACGCTATTTGGAAACCTTAGAATTGCCTGATAATATTGATGCTGACCAACGCCATGCTTTTAAACGAAAGGCCCATTATTATGTTTCGATAGATGGCCTATTGTATAAAAAGAATAAGGAAAGCCCTACTCGACCTTTACGTGTATTAAAGAAAAGTGAACTGGCCACTGTGTTATATAATTTTCACGAAGATCCACTTGCAGGACATTTTGGGTTTTCCAAAACCTATCGTGCTATTAGTTTACGATATTTTTGGCCACAGATGGGAAACGATATTAGAAGTTATGTCCAATCGTGTGATATATGTCAACGACGAAAAAGACCATTAAGAAATGAGCCTCTTCACCCTATAAAGATCGGACAACCCTTCGACCGTGTTGGGATGGATATTGTTGGCCCGTTACCTATTACCACTCGTGGAAATAAGTATATTGTTGTATTAACCGAATACTTAACGAAGTGGCCCGAAGCTCGAGCATTACCAGATGCCAAGGCCGCGTCTGTTGTTTCTTTCTTTTATGAGGACGTTATTTGTAGACATGGATGTCCGAAAGTTCTTTTGACTGACCAAGGGACACATTTCGTAAACGAACTTTTAGATTAGTTATGTACTCGACTAGGTGTTAAACATCACTTATCAACCGCATATCGACCACAAACTAACGGGTTGACCGAACGATTCAATCGAACATTATGTGAGACTTTAGCAAAATATTCTATGGAGGATCAATCGAATTGGGACCTATATTTGCCTTCTGCGTTGTTTGCATATAGAACCATCCGACAACAAACCACCCGATTTGAACCCTTCTACCTTACTTACGGAAGGGAAGCAACTTTGCCGATTGAATTGAAATTGCCTAGTGATCCTACTGTTATCAGATCAGATGTTCAACAAGACCAACAAGTTGAAGATTTTCAGGAACAGTTTTACCAAAGGATTCGGATGTTGATAGGACCCTTAGAGGACAATCGTCAGTAAGCTAGAAGTAATGTGCATACTAGTCAAGAGAAACAAAAGCAACGATATGATGCTCAAATTCATCCTAAACAATACGCTATTGGAGAACAAGTATTGTTGAAGAATTTCTGACCGAAGAAGCTGGATACGAAGTGGAATGGACCTTATTATGTGCATGATCGTCGTAACAATGGAAATTATCAATTACGAACAATCGATGGGAAAATTCGTAAAAAGTGGGTGCATGCCGACCAACTTCGTCCTTATATCAGTAGATCATTGGAGATGTCGGATATCGGATAATATTCGATAGTGTTCTCGTTCGCGGGAGCTCACGTTTCAAGAGGGGATGATGTTACGCGAATTTTTGCGCATGTGATTTCCGATATTATATGGTGATCTGATGAAATTCGGTACATTTGTGTACATGTCGATTTCCGGTGTTATGAGACGATTTACGCCGATATATGATTTGTGTATATCGGTTAACTATATTAAAGATATTGATTTTGTTTGATAGATTTACTTATATATCGTTTTTATAGTTATTTTATTTTATTTAGATAATTTATTTATATTATTTATTTTCTTTATTTGTATTGTTTATATATAAGATTTTATTAGAAGTTATTGTAGGGAAATTAGCTCAATAGTAATTAACCGTCTAAAATTATCATTTGTACTTTATTAAAAATGGCTTATAATCGTATTGTAATTGTATTGATATATTACGAAATCAATAACCCATCAATAGACATCTATAGATTAGATTTTGCCTTGATGACAGGAAAAAGAGATGACGGTTAGATAAAATAAGATATAAATACACCTTCCGCAAACTCTTTGATAGAGTAGTTACCATATAGCTATTTTTCTGTAGTTATTTTGTCATTAAATATCTTTAAGATATATTTCCTATCCCTTTCTGTCACTTTTTATCACTTTGTTGTAAAGATCCGAATTTACACCTGTTTAATAAAATCGTTATATTTGGTCAATATTACACGTTGTTTCTAACAGTCATATAACAGTTGTTGTTATAACCATTGCGTATTTTCATTTATCGTATTTATAGTGTTTACCTTGACGATTCTTAACGAACAATACAGGAAGTACCTTGGATAGGTAGTATTGAGTAAGAATTTTGTTGGTATTCGTGTAGTTATACGATATAAGTCATCCGCCATTCGTCCCTTAATTACCGTCATTATTCGGTAACAATTGTAAATCTAAATATTGCATCATTAATTTCTAGATGGATCGATAATGATATTAAAAGCAAATTTGCTTATGTAAGAGAATTATATTTACCATATGAATTTAAATTATTATTAAGAGGAAGTCGAGATGGATTTACTCCTAAAAAATTTCATGAATTATGTGACGATAAGCTTTGTACTGTAACATTTATTAAAATAAAAGAGACGGAAGAAATTATTGGAGGATATAATCCTTTAAAATGGAAGACATCACATAATGACATTGATGATGGTGAATGAGGCGAAACCAAGGATAGTTTTATATCTTTTTTAAAGAATAAGGATAATATTAGAGAATCAATTTTAAGCCATGTAAATGATGCAAGTTATGCGTTATACTATCACGATAAATTTGGACCTACATTTGGTGATAATGATTTTGATATGTTTGTGGCAGAAGGTGACGATTCAAATGAATATGACTGTTGTTGGTGTATGCCGAATTGTTATGAAAAAAAGATAAGAAATCCAGTGGATTTTTCGATAGAAGACTGAAGTATTTCAAATTTTAAAGAGAGATGAACATAATTTATGATTTATATTTTAGATTTTTTTTTTTATTAAATTTCAAGAAAAAAAAAATGAATGTTAATTAATAATTAAATATTTTAAATTTACTAAGTTAAAAACTATTTCGCATTAATATATTTTACTAATTTTCCTATACTCTTCACTTATTTGGTTTGGTTTATTTAGTATTCATTCATATGATTTACTTGTGCGCATGGTAATACGCCATAGTAAAAGCGATCTCAGTTAGCCGGTAATATTACCGACCGTACCCAGGTGATTCTGCTATGGCCAAGTGCTATTTAATAAGATCGAACGGGTGTTTAGGAGTTAGGACGACTTATTTAGGGGTTTAAAATTATTATCCGACTGGATTTGACTGATAGATAGTATCCATCTGTTATCAGTAATATGAAGATTATCCAAATAGTGTCTGAATAATATCCAGATTCTTTCGCATCTTTCATATTTTGATGCTTTTTCCAGGCATTTTAGACATACCCGGACATTCTCACTGCAATTTCTGGATATTTCTTTTTATAGAATGGCATTTAAATTTACAATGTTAATCAGCTTTAAATTATCTAAATCATAATGTAAAAATTGGAATTTACTACTAAATTGTTATTCAATTTTATTTTTAAACATTAGTTGACTTCTGAGTCCAGAACAAAAAAGATATAACCAAAATTTGCGCAAATGGACAGGGAAACACCGTGACTATAAAATTTTCAAATTTTCATAATTTATCTCCGGACTATGAATCTTTAATTCGATGCAATTATTTTTCAGCACAACACATGAATGATTAATGGTTGAACACACACGAAAATTTGTATATTTGCCATATTATTAGATTAATTCACTCATATTTATATTATTGACACATTCTTCCACCTCCTTCACAATATTATCAATATGTAAAAATATAGCAGATTTTGGACGTTCATATTAAAAAGAATTTAGTTATATCGAAGCGTGTGGCGTAATACTTTATATCTACCTAAATTCATTGAAATTCATTCATATGTGGTATAAAGTTTTAAAAGCTTAATTTATTGTGAAACAACAATAATATATCAATTGATTTTAATTTCAACGAAAGTGAATAAAATGAAGATTCTGATTTGCAAAGTTGCCAAAAACCCAAAATTATGACATAATTTCTGATGGATACAAAGTAAATATTAGATAATTTTATATTATATCAGCAGGGTTTCTTTCATTATCTGTTGTATTACGAATGCAATTTTTTTGTTACTTTTACTCATCTTTTATTTATCATAAGAAAATAATTTAAATAAAACACTTAAAATTATTTCTAAACACATTATAGGGTCCTTAACTGTCAGTTTCATCATATTTATTTTGAAGTAAAAGATATATACAATTTTATTAAGATAACTTTATTAAACAAAGCAATGATATTTTAAACTTTGATTTAACATAAGGATGATTAATCATTTTTTGTTATAATTTGAAATACTTCATAATCTTCTATTGAAAAGTTATCATCCGTATCCCTTATCCTTTTTTCATAGCTTAGTTGTGTACAACTACAATGATCATATTCTTTATCATCCTCACATACAAATATATCAATATCATCGTCACCAAATGTAGGTCCAAATCTATTATGATAAAATAACGCATGACTTGCATCAATTACACGGCTTAAAATTGATTCTTTAAAATTATCCTCATTTTTAAAAGAAAATATAAAACTATCTTTAGTTTCGCCCCATTTATCTTCATCTGATGTATCCCATTTCAAAGGGTTATATCCTCCAATAATTTCTTCGGTTTCCTTTATTTTAATGAATGTTACAGTACTAAGAATATTATCACATGTTTCATGAAATTTTTCAGGAGTAAATCCATCTCGGCTTCCTCTTAATAATAATTTAAATTTATATGGTAAATATAATTCTCTTGTATAAGCAAATTTACTTTCAATGTCTATTTTATCGATCCATCTTGAAATCAAAGATGCAATATTTATATTAACGATTTTTGAATCAATAATTCCATTAATGTTTCTATATCTAGGAAGTGAAATATTATCATTCGGTACACTATTAGAATCTAAATAAGACTTCAATAACTCTTCATAAAGTTGATTCCTTAAAAGTTTTTTATAAGGTCGAACCTTGTGAAAGAAATCTTCAGATGAAAGGCTAAAAAATCTTATTAAAGGTAAACAATGTTGCAAAGTATTTTCCATCATTTTGAAATCATCATCTGACCAAGTTGTAGGATCAGGAAGAAGTGTAGGATTTTTTACAAGACACCATTTTAATAAATGTTCCCAAATTTCAATTTCTTTCATTTGTAAATCATCTCTTTTAATGAGTGAAATCAAAGTTTTTTCAGAAAGTGAAGTAAAATCAAATGACTCGAATATTTTTTGAGGAGATTTAGCCATACAGTTTGTACAGAAATTTTGAAGTTCTAATAAAGAATTAGATTGAAAACTCGTTTGATAAACAAGTCCAAAATGTTGTTCCATCCATTCGTAATCATTGTTAATTAAGTATTCCTGTAAATAATCAACTATTTCTTGAAGATAAAGTTGATCAGCAGCGACTAATACTCTTAAAATCTCTAAAGGTTCTTTCTCATTTAACGTAATTATACCACCATAAATATATCTATACAGTATAATAAAAAGATTAGTACATATTAAATATAAATGTTTTAATTTTTACAAATTATTAGTAAATTATAACTTACTTCAAAATAATTTGAAAAATTTCTGGTGAAATATTTGGAAACTTAATATGAACCAAGGTACCATCGTTATTCTTTTTGTTCTTTTTGTTAGAAGCCAAAGTTCGTCGTAAAAATGGAGAGCGATAACATAGGACAATCATATGTGCACGAAATATTTTTACGTTCGGATCCTCACCAACTTCAATAGTAATATCATAATACTCATTATCTTCTAAAACTTCAATGTAATTTTGACTTAATTTTGAAAAAAATTGTTTGGACATTTTTATTCATAAGTTTGCGAAATACGAAGGTAAAGTGGAGAAAAAAAAGAAAAAAAGAAAATGCTTGTTACGAATGTGAATGTTATACAAATAAAAGCTGTCCATTTTAAGTACTTATGCTACCCATATTAATACTGATCAACGGATGATTACATAAAAATAAAAAAAGTTACATGTATTTGCTAATATTCGAGCTTAAAAATAAAAAAAATACAATATCTCTTCAATTTTAAATTCGCAAGGGAATTAATTAATTTCAACACTTTATTATTGTCATTTTTTTACGCAGAAATCGATTTTATCAATTGATCTTAATAATTTTAATTTTAATACTTTACAAAGCTATTATTATTTCACAAAAATTTTAATATGAACTAAAATTTAAAATTTCTTGTCATACAAACAAATAAAATGCAACTTATCAGTTATTGTATTTTGATTATAAAAATTACTATAATGTCTGCAACAATTTTGCGGATGCTAATAAAGATTCATAAATTACAAATATATTACATATTGTGATTCGTTCATACATTTCTTATTGAAAGTAAAATGGAAATATAGATAATGTGTGAGATGTTATATCTACCTAGATTCATATTTAATTATACGATTTAATTCTAATTTCGGCATAGCAAAATTGGTTTTATAAATCCGAAAACAAAGAAAAAATGATCAAAGAAATATTATTATAATTCGGTTTTCGTCGATTAAATAATTTCTAGATTTATGCTTATTTGACGGTATTAATATATTAATGTTTAAAAATTTGTCTGACGTTTGTATAAATAATATGCCATATAATTAAACCCGTGACAATCGTGACATGCCTCCGCCTGATCTATTTATGGTCAAAAACTATTCTAATCCAATTTCGGTTAATGAAATTTTACCTTGATTATTTTGATTATTAATTTTTTTCTTTCCCCCAAATTTTTTAATTTTTTTAATTTTTAATTTTTTCTTTCTTTTCCTTTTCGCTTTCTTTTTTAACCCGATTTTTCTCTTTATCCCTCTTCCAAAATTTTTTTTTCAGTTTTTTTCAAATTCTTTAAACCTTTTTTCTTTTTAAAAACAAATTTTCAGGTTTTCCGACTCACTCTTTCCTTTTTCGGGTTTGTTTTTTCTAAAACTAAAAATTATTTTTTTCCATATATTTTTTTTTAAATTATCGTCATATAAATATATTATTGTTTATTTTGTTTTTTACTTGAATCTAGATCAGTGATCATGGTGTTACACCGTTACGGTCAGTGCCTTTTTTTCCGATTCTTATTAATAATAATTATTTTTCCTAATTACCGTATTTTTTTGCTAAAATTATTTGTTCTTTCAAGTAATATAATAAAAATAAATGATTTTTTTATTTGAATAAACGTTTCGCATGATTTTTTAGTTATCATATATTTTTTTATTTAGTAAAAATAAAATTGGTTAAATTGAAAATTACATAGATAATTTTTTTAAATGATTAGTATAATACTTATTTTAATATTGTTCATTTCTAATATTTCTAATAAAAAATTATTTTTATCATTTTATTATATAAACCAATATTTTTTTAAAAAAACACAATGACTATCCATTTAATCAATAAAATAATCAACAGATTTTTTATTTATATCTCTACTTATTTATATAATATTTTTTATGCACATAATTTATTATTTTATTTATTAAAAAACATTAATCACGGTGCGAAGCAACGGTGACTACTTTTTTACGCCAATTATGATGGGAGGACAGTGTATTATATGGTAAGTTAATTTGCAAAATATGGAAATAAGTTGGTCAGCTGATCATCATTCAATCATAAATTCACAGATTTTTTTCATTTTTTTAAAAAAAAAATTTTTACTCTCTTACTTTTACAATTTCTAATGTCTAAACAATTTTTTCCGAGTCTAAGTCAAAATTATATAGAAATTTTGGAAGATGATGAATATTATGATACTACTATTGAAGTTGGTGAGGATCCGAACGTAAAAATATTTCGTGCACATATGATTATCCTGTATTACCGTTCTCCATTTTTACGACGAACTTTATCTTCCAACAAAAAAAATGATAATGATGCCTTGGCTCACATAAAATTGTCAAATATCTCACCAGAAATCTTTCAAATTATTTTGAAGTAAGTTATATATTAAATTTATATCATATTCTTAAATATTTTGTATTTATATAAATTTTATTATCATTTAGATATATTTATGGTGGTGTCATTTCATTAAATGATCAAGAACCTTCAGATATTTTAAAAATTCTGATTGCTGCTGTTCAACTACTTCTTCAAGAACTAATTGATTATTTACAAAAATACTTGATCGAAAATAAATCTGGGTGGTTAGAAAAACATTTTGAATTTATTCACCGAACAAGTTTTCAATCTAACTCTTTATTAGAACTTCAACAATATTGTACAAATTTTATGGCTAAATCACCTGAAAAAATTTTTGAATCACTTGATTTTACATCTCTTCCTGAAAAATCTTTGGTTTCGCTCATTAAAAGAGATGATTTACAAATGAGAGAAGTTGAAATTTGGGAACATGTATTAAAATGGGTTCTTGAAAAAAATCCTACACTTCTTCCGGATCCCACAACATGGTCAGATAATGATTTCAATATGATAGAAAATACTTTGCAACATTTTCTACCTTTAATTAGGTTTTTCAGTTTATCCTCTGATGAATTTATACAAAAAGTTCATCCATATAAAAAACTCTTAAAACATCAACTATATGAGGAATTGTTGAATTCACACTTAAATTCTAATAGTGAACCAAATGATAATATTTTACTTCCTAGATATAGAAATATTGATGGAATTATTGATTCAAAAATCGTTAATTTAAATATTGCATCTATGATTTCGAGATGGATTGATAATGATATTAAAAGCAAATTTGCTTATGTAAGAGAATTATATTTACCATATGAATTTAAATTATTATTGAGAGGAAGTCGAGATGGATTTACTCCTAAAAAGTTTCATGAATTATGTGATGATAAACTTTGTACTGTAACATTTATTAAAATAAAAGAGACCGAAGAAATTATTGGAGGATATAATCCTTTAAAATGGAAGACATCACATGATGATTATGGTGAATGGGGCGAAACCAAGGATAGTTTTATATTTTCTTTTAAAAATAAGGATAATTTTAAAGAATCAATTTTAAGCCGTGTAAATGATGCAAGCTATGCGTTATTTTATCATAATAGATTTGGTCCTACATTTGGTGAAAGTGATATTGATATACGTGTGCTACCAGAAAATAATTCAAAAGAATATGATTATTGTTTGTGCCAACAAGAAAGTTATGAAAAAGAAATAATAGATACGGAAGGTGTCTTTTCAATTGAAGATTATGAAGTATTTCAAATTTTAAAGAGAAGTGACGATTAGTTTATGATTTATGTTTTAAATCGAATAATAAAATATTTTAAATTTACTAAGCTAAAAACTATTTTTGCATTAATATATTTTAACAACCAATAAACTAAATTTCTATACCCTCCATTTTTTTATTGGCTTATTATAAAGTTTTAATTTATGTGATTTACTTGGGTGCATTAGTATGCCCTAGCAAAAGCGACCTGTATAGTACCGATCACCAGACCCAAACTCTTATATTGGTATGGTGATGTGATCGGTGGATTGTTGGGTTGGTGTCCGACGAACGATCTTTTGTTTTTAGATCAGATCACATGATCAAAAATGTGATGGTACGTATCATTGCAGAGGGTAATTGTCAGTGATCATTTATACCTAACCTATACATTGCAATATAATAATATTTTATAAAATAGGTTTCTTTCGGGAAAATATACGAAAGAAACACTTTCCGATCATCCAAAATCAGGATGTCGCGATTAAATAGTTGCGGATACTGCGAAAAATGAAAAAATCGGGAAATTTTAGAAATTATCTCCATTTCAAAGGAAATTAATAGAACTCCTGCTCAGACAATCAAGTAATTATTTATAATTCAATATAGTAATTTTTTTTATTAAATTGACATGAAACCTTTTTTTTATTTGAGGTTGCCATTAAACAAAATTGGAGTTACCTCTCCTATAATCGGTACCTAGAACTGTACTTGATTGTAGACTGTCGATATTATGGTTGTCAGGATTGTTGGGGGGTCCCTGGTACTGTACACTTGGTACTACATTTTTTTTTCGTTTTTTTTTAATCATTGACTTTCGTGTTTAACGAATTATTTCGAATTGAGTGAAAAAATTAGCAAATGAACATGACGCAATTGATACATACTTTAGTTGTCAGAAAAATAAAAAAAATATTTAATTTTATTTTTATTTTTTTATATCGTTATTAGTATATAAGTATTAAACATTTTACGCTCTTTACGCATAAACTAAGTTTCGATAATGGGGATTAATTAACTATATCGTACATGATTTGGTTTTTATCTAATTCTAATCGCTAATTTCTTGAATTGTAAAATACAAAAGTACATAACTAATTATGTAAATGAAAAAAAAAGTATGAAATAAATTGACAAAATAAAAATCAATTATTAAATGTATCATAACTGATTTAGTTTGAACAAACAAGTATAAAATAAATTGGAAAATAAAAAAAGTAATTTTGTAAATTACATTATGATATATGGATTATTATTCTAATGCATCGAAAAATGTAAAAAAATTTAACCAGTGATGGGAACATTTAAACAGTAGGTTGCGATTTGGTATTGGCAACAGCGGTAGGTTCTTCTTCACCGAAGGTCTTGCAGCAGAACCCACCAGGATTAGGATACGCTTCGCTATTAGGTAAGGCGACAAGCGTAATCAACAAAATTACGAATGAAAAAATAAATCGGTTCATAATTGTTTTATGAAGATAATTTGTATTAGAAAATTATTTGTGAGTGATTATTTAGTAATTTTAATTTTTATAAATTTTTATTTTTTTTTGTGAATTGAATGATTTGTCTTTTCATAACAACCACCATCTTTTTATAATAAAAAAAACTGCACGATTTTATTAACCACTTTGCAAATCAATTTTTAAAATTTTTTTTTAGACCGGATCCGTTAATCTGGAATTCTGGATATCTGATTTCAGTAATTCGTCAATCCGGATAAACGGATAATTATCCGGATTATCCGGAAATTTATTTGACGATCTTGTACAATAATTCTGGCCGGCACTATAAATATGGCCCAAATTATTCTAAACGCAGATATATATCCGGATAAATGTATATCCGGATTGAACTTTTTTGGTTAAAATCGTGTTGGGAAAAGGGTGTGATTACGATGTTCATTAAGGCGAGTACTATGAAATGATCATAGTAAAAATTATTTGTCACTTGTAACACATTTCACGCCTACTTTTATGAATTTTCGCGCCCCTGCATTGGGTATATATTGCGGTTATTGATCGTCACGAGCATGACGAATTACAATGTACTGACCTACATTTAAAATACAGTATAACGAGAATGCTGACTTTATGTAGTTTGTTTTTTCGTTTTTTTTTAATTTTATTTGGAGGTTATAAAAAAAAGGAGTATTATAATCCAAATTGGTTAGATTAGGGTTAAATTAATAATTATTAATTTGTTTTTGATGTATTTTTTAAAGGAAATAATAATTTTACGCAGGAGCCCTTTAATTTGCCGATCATTTATGATCACGTGGTTTCATAAATTTCGTTTCTTTTTTTATGTACTTATTATAGAACCTTTAAAGCACACGTTTTATGCGTATTTTTACCTGCTCTACAACTTTACTTATAAGACTGAAAAGGATTTAGAATACTAATTTTGACTTTAAAATTTATATGCAGGTGCGTAGCAACGCACTCTCCTATATTATGTTATATGTAAACTCTTTTTTTCATTTGAATATACGTCCTACTACACTATTTTAAAAACGGCGATAATTATATAAATTTCTGTATTTCATTTAAAAAAAAAAAGATTACCGGTAATCATATTGGTAAATGGTAATCATCCAATTAATCACCTGGTAATCATGGTAATTATATAGTAATCTGGTAATCTTTTTTTTTCAAATGTGTCATACTACGAAAAGGGAACGGCAATAATTATTTACACAACGATTTCCCGACAGACGATTTAAAAAAAAGACAAGCAACAAAATATTTGGACGGGAAAATGGGATTTTGTCCGACATAGTAATTATTGCTGTTTTCAATTTAGTGCGATCACAGCTAGCACTCCTTTAAAAATATGATTATCAAAATTTTGTGAATACCCATGATATTTCTAAAAATCATTTAGAAAATAGTTGATAACCTGTGAATACCAGTGAAAATTATAGAAATATCTCAATTTTTCGAGTAGTTTACTTATAAGCAAGTTTTTTAACTTTGTGTAACAATAACAGTTTTTTACAAGTAAACTACTCAAATAATTGGGAATTTTCCATGATTTCCCCCGGTAATCATAGGTAATCAACCCTTTTCTAGCTGATTATTTAAAAAAATCACGGGTATTCAAAATTTTTAAAAATTGATTATTTTTAGGGGGTGTTACGCTTCGCACTAAATTGAAAACGGCGATACAAGTGTAGATTAAAAATTTTTTTTAATTAGCTAATAAATTATTTTATTTAGATTTGCGACTTGCCGCGTACGACTTTGTTAATAGGTTGAATGAGTTTTCTTTTTTATTTTTTTTTATTTACATATTTATAATTAAATAAAAAATTAATCGGCTGCTCCATTTTATATAATTAACCTATTAACAAAATTTTTATAAATATTTAATTAAATAAATAATTTTTATGATTGAATCTAAATCTAATCCATAATATAATAATACACACGCATACGCATTATGTCGGTGGTTGCCCTAGGTATGGCACGATTGACGCATCTCTAGTTTATATAAGAGATTCACTGTCCGTTCAGCATTAGTAATTAATAAACTCGTTTAATAAAAAAATAAATTTGTGCAACAGATATCTACTTTAAGCTTAATTAAGTTCGCATCTAAATATCCGTCCGCATAGGATAATCACCCATACCTACTACACAATCCTCCTTTATATTCGGTTAAGTAGAATACTGCATGGGATTAGTAGTAAACTTACTTGCGGTCTTACGCCTCTATTTTTTACTCATACTGCCTGGTTAT